CAGCCATGTTTGCTGCAAGGTGGTGGCGTGGGATGCCAGTCGTTTCTTTGTGTCGGCACATGTTCGCCATCGCGCGACCCTCCGCGAGTGGGAGGTCATTGTGGTTTATGGCCCGACCGACCACTCGCACTCGCATGAGTTCTTGGGGGAACTACAGGAAAAGGTCGCGGACCTGGGTGTGCGTAACTTGCCACTGATAGTCGGTGGGGATTTCAACTTAATCCGTTCGGGAGCGGATAAGAACAACGGGATTATGAACTGGACAAGGGTGTCCATGTTTAATAAGGCGATAGCATCAATGGCCCTTAGGGAAGTGGCCCGCGTGGGCGCACGGTACACTTCGACAAACCAACAGCTTACGCCGGTTCGGTCAGTGCTTGACCGAGTTTTTATGTCCGCGGAGTTGGAAATGCTATTTCCCTTGTGCTCCCTACACGCTGAAACGAGGATCGGGTCGGACCACGTCCCTTTAATCCTCTCCTCGGGGGAGGAGAGGTTAAAATGAAGCCCTCATTTTTTCTTTGAAACTGCGTGGTTTGAGCACCCGGAATTTGAGCAAATCTTCCTCTCCAAGTGGGAGACTTGTGTTGCCCGGATCGGGCACACGCGTGGGCCCATGGATTTCTAGATTGCCGCAGGAGCGGGGATGCGTGTGGCTCTCAAAGGCTGGGGGGCCAACCAGGGCCGTGAGGATAAGTTGCTCCGAGCGCGTTTGATCGCGGACCTCGCCCGAATGGATGCTGCGGCGGACTCACATGTCTTCCCGGAGCAAGACTGGGCTCAGCGCTACGCTGTAGAAGCCCAAGTTGAGTCCCTCCTTCGAGCGGAGGAGTACTGGCGCTATGCGCAGTGGAATGAAGTGGACGCTCAAGGGGGACGCGAATACAAAATATTTTCATGCCTATGCTAATGGCCGGCGCCGTAAATGCGCCATCCTGAGACTGCAATCTGAGCAGGGGCTCCTTTTGCGTCAATAGGACATCGTTCGTCGCATCTATGACTTCTACATCCAGCTGATGGGCTCCAGGGAGGAGTCCCGGGCTCGGCTGCGGTCGGATGTTTGGGAACCCGCGCTGCGGGTCACGGACGAGGAGAATGAAGGCTTGGGACTCGCTTTCCTTCTCCAGGAGATTGACCAGGCGGTCCTTGGGATGAAAACTGACACCGCCCCGGGTCCGGATGGGTGGTCGGTGGCGATGTTCAAAAGGTTTTGGCAAGTGCTCAAAGGTCCTATTTTCGAAATTTGTAACGGGTTCATGCGTGGCTCAGTAGATATCTCTCGCCTTAACTTTGGGATTCTTTCTCTTATTCCCAAAGTGTAGGGCGCAGACAACATTAGACTTTTTCGTCCTATTGCGCTTATCAATGTCCCGTTTAAAATTTGTTCTAAGGCTTGTTCTACGCGCTTGTCTCCGTAGCTCATCGTATTATTAGTAGTAACCAGTAGGCTTTTATTCGTGGTCGCAACATTTTGGAGGGGCCGTTGGCCCTCCAAGAGATCGTTCACTCGCTCAAACGCACTCGCCAACCGGCAATTCTTTTGAAATTAGATTTTGAGAAGGCATATGATCGAGTGAACTGGGAGTTTCTCCGTCAAATCCTTCTGGATCGAGGATTTTCGTCGGTTTGGGTTCACCGTGTGATGCAATTGGTCTCGGGAGGCAAAACGGCGATTGCGGTGAATGGAGAAGTAGGGAACTTCTTCCGCAGCAAGCGTGGGCTACGTCAAGGGGACCCAGCCTCACCGTTGCTCTTCAACTTTGTGGCGGACGCCTTGGGCGCCATGCTAGACAAAGCTCGATCTGCTGGCCACATCAGGGGAGTGGTCGGTAATCTGATCCCAGGAGGTGTGTCACACCTGCAGTATGCGCATGACACTCTTCTCTTTTTGAGCTGGACGAACACAGTATCGCAACGGTTAAGGCCATCCTACTGTGTTTTGAACTCATGTCCGGACTAAAAATTTACTTCCACAAATGTGAAGTGGTGTCCATAGGGATGGATGTGGCCGAAAGTGAGAGGGTGGCCAACTTGCTTAATTGCAAACTTGGGAAGTTTCCGTTTACCTACCTCGGCCTCCCGATCGCACAGAAGAAATGCTCGATTGCTGATTGGGAACCTCTCAACACTAAGGTGGCGGACCGAGTTTGTCCGTGGAGAGGTCGATTTATGTCTTCAGGGGCAAGACTAATCCTTACTAACTCCAGCCTGTCGTCCCTACCCATGTTTTCCATGGGTATGCTCTCGATGGCTGATGGGGTCCACACGAAAATGGACACCCCGCGGGCACGTTTCTTTTGGGAAGGAGCGGGTCCTAAACGGAAATACCACATGGTTAAGTGGCAAGCCGTCTGTAGACCTAAAGCCCAGGGGGGCCTTGGGATCATCAACTCTAAGCTGATGAACATTGCGCTTATGTGCAAGTGGATCTGGAAGTTGTCCCAGGGAGGGACCGACCTCTGGGTTGACCTCCTTCGTGCCAAGTATTTCCCGCATGGGAATTTCTTTGAGGCAACACCTCATGGGTCCCCTTTCTGGACCTCTGTCCAATCCCTCAAACCATACATCGCCAGGGGTGCGAGGTTCACTGTTAATAACGGCCGCTCCACGCGTTTTTGGCACGACGTTTGGATAGGCCAGCAGCCTCTTTGGTCGGAGTTTACCCATCTTTATTCCATCGCGGTTGAGCCCAACCAACTGGTTGCTTCGGCTCTTAGTGCCACTCCGCCCCCTATCTACTTCAGAAGGGAGCTTTTAGGGCCGGAGCTGGAAGATTGGGAGCGCCTGCGGGCTCTGATAGCGAATGTGCGGCTGTCGGGCTCCGCAGACGTGGTCTCTTGGAGACTTTCGGGCTCTGACAAGTTCACTGTCAAGTCCCTGTATAGAGAGTTGTGCCACGGCCATGCCCCTATGGCAGCCACGGGGCTTTGGAAGGCGCGAATCCCGCTTAAGATTAAGGTCTTCCTATGGCAACGATGCCAAGATCGCCTTCCTACCTCTATCAATATAGCCAAGCGCAATGGCCCTGCTTCCGGTCCTTGCGCTTTGTGTGATGACGCGTAAGATGCTGACCACGTGTTCTTCCGGTGTCCTTTGGCGCGCTTTGCTTGGAGCGCGGTCCGTGAGGCCGCTGGGTGGATTGGGATCCACGCTCACGCTCTAAGCTTGTGTCATACCTATCTTCGATCCAGGGCCCTCTGCGCCGGATCATGTGGGCGTGTGCTTCGGCCATGTTATGGGCCTTATGGCATATTCATAACAAGTTTACTATTGAGGAAGTGTTCCCCTCTCACCCCGCTGATGTAATCTTCAAATGCATCTTATTCTTGCAGCAGTGGGCACCGCTGGGAAGGCAACAAGAGTCTAATCTTCATCGCCAAGCTATCGCACGTCTTCGCTCCGTCTACTCGGGGTCTCGAGCCCCATCACCTCCGTTTGCTGCCTCATAGGGATGGGCAGTCCTTTTGGTCTTGGTTACCCCCGAGCCTTCGCGCTCGTTAGTTTGGCTGGTTATGCCATGTAATGCACTTTATTTCGCCGTCGTTGTCTTTTGTGGCATGCCTTAGAACATGGGTGACTAGCTTCTGTTCCGTTTGTTTGGTCTGTTTGTTTGTGCACGCTGCCTATGTTGAGAGCTTTATTAATTTAAAGCCGGACGTCCCCGACGTCTATGTTCTAAATAAAAAAAGAGTTTTATTATACTAAAAATAATTGTGTATGTCAACGTGACCCGGCCTGCCTCCTTTTCAAGGAAAAAAAATCTGTGTTACGGAGATCGTCATTAGGATTAACGCAATTCGTAGTCGATTCAAGTAGAACAAAATAAATGTATGAATCAATAAAGTATAGATAATATCAGTAAACAGTAATGAACGAATGAATGAGTCCTAAAATATGTACATATATATACCTAATAACATGAGCGAGCAGACCAACTATTGTGCAGCAAATGTGCAAACCAAATCGTGCACATAGGTGATCCTGTAAATCTGGACTAGAACTAGATATGCCTCGCTATTGAACTTGAGAGAAATCGATGGTGCAGTGCTAGAGGAAGAGCTGGAGCAGAACGGGCGGCGCCTGCGCCGTGGTGGCGGCCTCCTGCTCGCGGTGGCGGCGCATGTGGCCGCCAAGCGCCTGCCCCATCTCGAACCCGATCCCGCAGACGTGGCACCGGTGCGCCTGCTTCTGGTCCACCGTCTTCTTGGTCCCCGGCTGATCGGACCCCGCAGCGAGGCCGAGCGCGAGGCAGTGGCGGCCACGGAGGTGGCTGGTCCGGTGTCCTCCCAGAGCCTGGAACGACGGGAAGGAGCGGCTGCACGTCTTGCACACGAACTCACCGTCCGCGCCGCCGCGGTGCATCTTCTTGCTGCTGTCGGAGACGACTCCCAGGGACAGAGAGAGGGAGAGGGGCGAGGGCGCATCGGCCTGATCTCTGTACTGCTTCATTGATGAAACCATGGCGGCTAATCGGACGAGCTCAACAAGGAATTCGTAATTCTGTGCGGATTCAGTGGCTCGGAAATGGCTGTGGATGTGGCTCGGATCATGCAGGCGGTGCGGACAGCCTAGTACTAGTAGCCACCAGGTACATCCATATATAGACTACGTCTGGCTTGACGACGACTTGGAGCCCGCGCGCCCTTCGCGATCGGCGGCGACCTGGCTAAAGCGTCCGGTCTGCAAAGATAGAACCTTCTCCTCTGCTCGCGTACGTCAGCTCAGAGTAATTGCTTAGCTTGCTCCCAGTCCCAGGTAGCCCGGCACGCGGTTACATGCATGTGGACGGAAAGGCCCGCGAAATGGGATCGGGCCATGATTAGTTGGATGTTTGTTGTTGCACCGGTGAGACATTATTAGAGTATGCCGACCTAAACGGACGGTGCTTTTGTTCGCTTTTTGTTTGTTTCGGTCGGCCACCCGCCCGCTATCCGTCTTTTTCAGATTTGGGTCGGCAGTGTGTTCAACGGGCCGATCCATTTCATGATTGCGCGCGTTTTAGATCATGCCAGCGGCCATGCCGTCGCCCTGGTTTTGACGCTCCAGCGTGCGGGAAAGGTTCGCGCGCGGTGAAAAAGCGGCTCCAGCGACGGGAAAGGTTCGCACGCGCGCCGCGGCCGACGCTCGTTATAAGAAGGCGCTCCCTCCACACTCTGTCCGCCGCCCACTCGTCTCGCTCCCTCTCACTAGCCTCGCCGTCTCTGCGCCACCATGTCGATGCGCCGCTTGGGAGCTTCAGATTTCCACGGAGTCCGCGAGCGCCGCTCCGGCGCCTTCTCCTGTGAGATCTAGTTTAGCGAGAAACGCCTCATCCTCGGCACCTTCGACACCGAAGAGGAGGCGGCCCACGCGCACGACGTGGCGGCGTGGCGCCTCCTGAGGCCTCGTTGGGAGTAGAATTTTCCCGACGTGTCGAGCCAGCAGGCGCAGGATCTCGCACATCTCCCGCGGCATTTCATCGACGAGGATCGTCGTGTCCATCGGAGGCGCCAGCGTCGCCTTGCCATCGCCGAAATGGACGTGGAAGCCATGATGGTGTGGCGCGAACACTTCCCGCAGGACATCGTCAACGAGCGCCAGTTCTACAAGTAAAGGAGGATGGAGCGAGCCGCATATCGGGAGGACAAGCGTGCGCAGAAGCAGGCCGCTCAATTGAAACTGAAGCTAAGAGAAACATCGAGATGGGATTTCGAGGACGAGCGGTATACTGACGCCTACATTCAGATGTCGGAGGAGGACATTACCGAGTCGGAGTCGGAAAGCGACAAGTAGTTGATCTTTCTTTTATCTGTGTACGCTGGAACTATCTATGTATCTTTTTTCTATCGGAAAAAATGGCCGGCGGCGTCGGCGAAGAAACAGGCGGGCGAAGGTGTGCTGTCGGATGTGGAGAGGCCAATGTGGCACCGACCGGCGGGCCCGGAGAGAAAAAAGGGCGAGCGCGCGCGTCCGTCTTGTGTCTGCGCTGACGCAAATCCAGCTCAAAAATGAGCCGGGAATGGGTCGGCAGATGGGCCGAGTTGGGCCGAGTTTTGTATTCGCGCTGATCCAAATGGACGGCGGCGGATGAAATGAGTCGCCCCATTAAAATTGCTCTTTATTTGACTGGCACCGATTTTTTTTTATTTTTTTTAGGATGGCACGGATTTTATTGGTCAATCAAAGAGCCTGCGGTTCCAAATTTCCTGTTTTCGCTCTTGCTCCTGTTCTCTAGTCCAAAAATGGCTTGCCGCGTCCGCCTAAATTACTGCACCACATGCATGCAGCTATGGAATTTCTCCGTGATGCGCCACGCGCTCGAACGATCGTCTGTGTGCATGCACACTCGTACGCGTGTGCATGCATGTGCTTGTTTTTCACGGAAATGACTCCAAATCCTGACTAGACTAGCTAACAGCAATTTGGGCTGGCTAAATTATTTCTTTTGCACGACAAGCATGACCATGACGAGACTCTCGAGAGATCCATATATAGCGACGACGCCGATCAAAGCCATTGTCATTGGCATGACGACCATGTTCTAGAGCTTTTTCTTTTTGCGGGTGATGTTCTAGAGCTTATGACGTACTACATCTCTCCCCCTTTCACTTCGTTACTTTTCTATAGTCTCATTAGGCCAGCTCCACCGCGCGACCCTATCCTGTCCGATCCCGTCCGTTTGAGGTAAAACGGACAAAAGAGACCGCCCAGCGCACGACGGCCTAAACACGTCTTGTCCGTTTTGTGTCCGGGCCGACCCATTTCGAGCGCAAACTTGCGCTGGGTTTGGGTCGCGACGGACACCAAACGGACACGCGCCTCGTCCGCGCCGGGCCGCGTGGCAGGCGGCCACCTACCTCCCACCCGCCCACATTAATGCGCACGAGCGGGCGGCCCCATCTGTCATCTGCACGTCGAACGGTCGCCGTCCTTCTTTAAGTGGGAAGCGTGGACGGATCGTCGTCCACACTGCCCCACGTCACCCCGCGGCCTCCTCGAAACCCGACAGCGCCGAACCCAAACCCTAGCCAAAAACTCGCCGGCCGGCCGCCTGCAGCCATAGGCCTCTGGAACTACGGCCGCAAAGGCAAGCACGACCGCGAGGCTGGTTCCTCGTTGGAACACCGCCGCGGCTCGGTGAAGAAAGAGGAACCCGCGTCGCCATCGCCACCACATCGGGCCCCCGCGTCGCCATCTCCACCACGTTGGGCCCCTGCGCCGCCCGCCTTCTCCATCACGCCCACGGCCGCTGGTGAGCGCGACCGGCACTACATCGAGGCGGCCGTCTGCCGCTTTATTGGGAGACAAGGATGCCGCTGCCCTGGAGCGACGTCCACCTCCCCAATAACTGGCACCTGTCGACCGACCGCGTGCCGATCCCGCCCGTCCCGCAGAGCGGCCGTGCGCGCCGCCAGGAGATCAAGCGCCGCCGCCGCCTCCTCCCGGACGACCTCTACTACGACGAGAGGTACGCCCCCGACTCGACATTGTGCGACACGTGGCTCCGTGATGAGCACGACGTGCGGCGGGCGTCGTTCTTCGCCGGCACATCGACGGGGCCGCGGCGGCCACGTGAGCCCCGAGCGGTTATGAAGCTATGTACCTAGGGTAGGGTCATGGACCTGTCCAAACTGACCTACCTAAGGACATCTCCAGAAGAAATCACCTTTCAATCGACTTGGAGGTGTTCCACTCGACGGACTCGAAGATACTCAACCAAGAAGCAATCACTCGACTAAGAAGCAACCACTCGACGGTCAGGAGAACTAAGGGCACTCTGCATGCTAACGGTCGGTTATTAAGTAGCTTTTATGGTCATCATAGCACTTTATTAGGGGCGTTACCAGTAACGCCCGACATTAATGTATTTAAACCCTTTGTAACTGAGGGCGGGAGGGGTCTGGCGAACTCTATATAAGTCACCCCCTCCTCAGGGACAAAGGTTCGCACCCTGTAATTCATACACGCATAATCCACTCGACCGCCTCCGGGCTCCGAGACGTAGGGCTATTACTTCCTCCGAGAAGGGCCTGAACTCGTAAACCTTGCGTGCTTACAACTTCTCCATAGCTAAGATCTTGCCTCTCCATACTTACCCCCCTACATCACTGTCAGACTTAGAACCACGACAAGCGGCTCCCCAGGCGCGCGGGCGTACGCGGGTCCGCGGCCTGACGCCCACGCCGTCGCCGTCGCCATCTCCATCGCCACCCCCACCTCCTCGCATGACGGCGGAGGATGAGGCCCGGCTCATGGCGCGTGTGCTGGTTCGAAGATCGCTGATGCTCATATGGCAATGGTGGAGTTGCAGGAATACCAGAAGACTGCAGACCCGAGTGATTTGTTGCTAGCCAAGAAGCCCGCTACAAAATCATCTTTTTAGTCGACTGGCGATACGAAGACAGCTCACATCCACCCGACCGACCCCAGCGCTGCTCCAACTCATATCTCGACAACACTCGACTCCAAATAGGAAGAAGTGCTCATCCAGTTCCTCCGTGAGAACTGGGACATTTTCGCATGGAAGCCTTCTGACATGCTGGGTGTTCCCAGGGAGCTGGCTGAGCACCGCCTAAGAGTCGACTCAAAAGTAAAACCTGTCAAGGAACATCTCCGATGGTCCGCCGTCCAGAAGAGAAAGGCCATTGGCGAGGAGGTGCCTCGGCTGTTAGCAGCGGAGTTCATCTGGGAAATCTACCACTCCGAGTGGCTCGCCAACGTTGTTATGGTCCCCAAGAAGGACGAGTCACTTCGCATGTGCATTGACTTGAAACATATCAATCGGGCCTTCCCGAAAGATACTTTACCTCTCCCCCGCATCGATCAGATAGTCGACTCGACTGCGGGATGTGAGCGACTGTCCTTTTTAGATGCCTATTTTGGGTACCATCAGATCCGTTTGTATGGACCTGACGAGATCAAAACAGCCTTCATCACTCCATTCAGGTGCTTCTGTTATGTTACTATGCCGTTCGGCCTCAAGAATGCCGGAGCCACATTCATGAGGATAATTCAGAAGTGTTTGCTCACTCAAATCAGTCGGAATGTGGAGGCGTACATGGATGATATTGTGGTCAAGTCACGGAAGGGTTCCGACCTGCTGACTAACCTTGCTGAAACCTTTGCCAACCTCAGGAGGTATGATATCAAGCTCAATCCATCAAAGTGCACATTCGGAGTTCCTGGCGGAACATTACTCGGTTTTCTCGTTTCCGAACGGGGAATCGACGCCAATCCAGAAAAAGTCGGTACTATACTCCGAATGAAAAGTCCTGTGCGAGTGCACGACGTCCAGAAGCTTACTGGTTGCTTGGACGCTTTAAGTCGATTCATATCTCATCTCGGTGAAAAGGCATTGCCTCTTTACCGATTAATGAAGAAGTCCGACAAGTTCGAGTGGACTCCTGAAGCTGATGCAGCGTTTGCAGAGCTCAAAGCTCTGCTCTCCACCCAGCCGGTGCTTGCTGCCCCAATCAGCAAGG